TTTTTACCAAAAGGTTCGTCGTAAGTATATTGTTATTAGTGTAATCAAAAAAGAATGTGGAGCATACATTTACAATGATTTTTAATGATCGTTTGAAGTTGGAATTTTTACGACATTCGATAAATACTAATAAATTTGACGATTTATCATTAAACGATTTTCTTATTTTGTTGTAACTAAAAAATAAATAACTCATATAATTAGAATTTCTATGCTTATTAGTTATACTACAGTAGAAAAACAAATTAAAATATATTGAATTAATATTTAAAGACAAGGCGATACAGGAACTTTTGGTACATGCTTACACTACCAGACTGACAGACCATCTCCATTCAGAATCGTTTTCAGTATACTATTATTATAGGTATATCACTGAATTCAAATTTAACAAATTCGTTACAGTTACCCACTCAAAAATGTCTTTAGGTACATTAGAGCTGTACTTGTTCACCCTAATTTGTTAAAAACATATATTTTATAGTCTGTAAACCAAATAACATTAAAAAAAAGATTATTTCAAAGCTTTTTCTGGTAAGACTTCTGTAACGCTATTAAAGTGTACTGGGGATAGAAGCAAAAAAACCATGTGCGGTGGGTTATTGTTCACGAATCTTAAAGTCGAACTTTCAATTATTTTATCCATCACATGGTTATTCTACAGTATTATTCGTAGTCGCTTTTCATCACAAATTGTTTTTGAAGATAAATGGCATATTCAATAGCTCCTAACTCTAACTGATTGTTTGTCCATTCAATGGAACGATTAAGTATAGGTACCTGAAGATGTAATGGAACAAGTGTTAGGCAATTGATTTTTTTTTAAATATAATACTATATGTATATTATTGTCTAAACATTTTCATCCAATCATCAAATAATGTCAAATCCATGTCATCGAATAATGCATTAAATTATAGGTAGGTATATTAATATATAATATTATATTACTAACCTGTCATCCAATATTACTGCATTGGAACTAAATCATTGATATTTAAAAGTTCACACCCCACTAAATTTACCTTGTTGACGCCGTCAACTTTAATTATAATTCAATTTCATAACTGCAGGCCGTTTATAAAATCATTATTATTTTTCGCTGAAATATTCTATACGAATTGGGCTTAAACTTTAAATTGATTTACTTATGGTCGGTATACGGAGTAACTACGTAGCTTCTTTCGTGTTATGATTTGAGTATGAAATAATATAGTTATTAGATTCTGGTAGGTACTTAATAATAATTTAATTTATTTAAACAAAGTATATTATTGGACTTACAAAATATATTATGAACCATGTACGATTACTTATATTCATATTTACTCACCAATTTAATCATAACTTATATTATTCATGATGTGTTCGCACTAAAGTCAAATTACTTTTATTTTGACTGTTGGCCGGATAAAATTTGTTCACGGCCCACCATTTGTACATTATAATTTGTATATTAGACAATATAAACTTGCCCGAAGTCATGACCAATTATATATTATAAATGTTATTAAGTTTCATACAATTTCAACTAATTTTAGACCAAACCTCGTCAAAGGTGGCTTGTGACTAGACCTAAACGGCTATACTTTAAATTATAATTTATATTGACCATAGGTACTTTATTATTTATTATGACTTGTTTATGTTATAAACATTCTTATTTGAACATTGTACTTAGCACTTTTAATATTATTTGTCATAACTTTATATTCTTATATGTAGATACCTATATATAAATGTATTATTAGATTCCAAATACCGATTAAATCTCATCGGACTTGATAACATTTTTAATATAATTTGTCACGACTTGTATTCTATATACTTTATTTATATAAGTACTTAGTACTTACTATGTATATATTGTATAGAATTATATTATTATATTATATTATATTATATAGAATGTACAAAGTATCCACGTTTTGCAATGTGTATATTTTTATCCGACCATACCAAGTGACGTTTACCTATTAGCATTTAGCATTGAAGAACAAATGGCTGTATATGAGAATGATTATTAGGTGTTTTTAGACTATTTTACCACAATATTATGTACAGCAGTGCCTTTTCCTACTGACAAAGTTTAAATAGAATATACCCCTGCTATACTGACATTATTATTTTCTAATATATTAAATATTTGATTCTACAATTATTTTCATTTCGTCTGAGATTATTAGTTATTATTCTATGCGTTGCGTGTCTATTTAAACCTGTTGTTTCAAATCGTGTCTATCTTCATCTTCGAAAATGGATTTAGACTTTTACTTTTTAGAAAAGCGAGTGATGGTACCTATAAGTGTTATTTATTTGATTATTTCCCGAGTTTACTAGGTAGGTAATTAATAATTGTCCAAAACGTCATTACCGCTTACACAGCCCAGGGCGACAAATGTTTTCGACGATGCTATAACAGAATATCAGCAGACCATTATTTTGTTTCATCCGATTCATATATATAGTGGCTATGGTGGCAAACAATTTAATCCGGCCCCACGTTGTAGCACAGTTGAGCACCGAGAATGAACTCCAGAGAATGATACTCATTGATTTTCGAAGTTTTTCGATTTTCTCAACGACTTCTCTAAAAACACGAGGAAAATTGACCGATGACTGTCGAAAACTATATCGAAGTAATATCGCCACTATACAATTGTGCATTTCTACATATTTTGTACTTAAACGAATATACATTATTATTTATTATACATTACGCATTAGCGTAGGTACTGTGGTCAGTAAACCTATGGTAATCATAATATTATGGTTATCTGATATCTCGACGATTATCTTATAATGCATTTACGAAAAACGTGCTACGCATTATCGTCGTTAATAATATGTTATGCTTATGAACTTATGATCACGATTTAAGACATCTTAAATCGTGGACGTGATATAAAATGTTGTTCGATAATTTAATAATTATTATAATTGAATAATATTATATAAATTGAAATAATAAATATTTTTTGGGATTGAACGTTATTCAATACTTCTTACTTTACTTAATATACGGGTAGTATTGACATTTTATAGAAATCATATAAATTGTATTTAGATAGCGTATAGCTATAATTAAGAAAATAACATTCTAATTTATTACATTGCCAAATCTTTTATAAGGGATTCTTTGGAATGGTGATATTCAACACTTTGGCGGTAGCATACATATTATATGAACCGAACAGCTCCGAACCGTCTTTTGAGTAGTTTTATTTATGATATAATCTAGGTATTGCTTTCAAATTTAATACCTCGGTACTATAATAATAATGTATTGTTACAACTCTGCACTGCAGTATCATAAAGATGCCTATATATTATAATATACGCCCAGTGTTTAATCCAAAGATACTAAAGAAAGGGATGCAACCCTGGAATTTCATCCAACCACTCCCTGAAAAATACAACTATCAAAAAAAATGTATTTAATTAAATGTGCAATACTCGTTTCGATTGTATTGCCAATTAACAAATTATAATATACCTTTCACATATTTTATATCAAAATACCAAGAACTTACTTATCTAATCGTGTTTTCAAATAAAATATTATTAATTTTATCAATGCTTTAAAAACATTCTCCAACTATTTACTAAATTTGGGATAAGACGCATTAGGATATTGATGTATACAAGCAAGTATGTAAGTATTGCGATGGAGAAGACCCGCCTCAGAAATTCATTGAAGAGGCAATCGATTGTATTGATTTGAAATCAATTTGAATTAATTTGTATAAGATAAATAATTATATGTGATATTACAGGAAATGAAAATAAAGTGAGCACCCTCTAAGAAAATTATCTGATTTCAACACTATATAATGTGTCTAGTACTTTCATGGCAATCGTCACAGTGACAGTGAGAAAGTAAGTATATCTAATTCGTTGACGGTATATATAATAATATAATATAGCCTTTACGATTTTTGTTTGTTTTTGAAGAACAAATTATATTGTCAGTGTCACATACTAATATTATAGTGTGTACACCATGTTGGTATTAGAGATACAGGTAAGCCGGTGACGATGATTAAGTATAATATAGTTCAAACACTACTATTTCTTTCTCTCACACTTTTATTATCATCGAAACAACAATTATTATCGTCATAACCAATAATATTATTATATACATTATACATATATTATAAAAAAAAAAAAATGTTTTTATGATAACAATTCTAAACTAAACAAAACTTTTAAATGTATAGATATACTACTTAAAATTATTACAATTATGATCTATATATATATAATGTAAAACACTTCAAGTCGTTTTGTCGCAAGCGTCAATGCCTTTGGGGGATACACAGGATATAATAATTATATATTTAGTAAATAATGACTAGAATACAAACGGCGGAGGTTCCACCACCCTTCAATTACCGCAATACGAATATAATAAGAACATATATTAATAATCGTAAATGCCGCGTGTTAATGTAAAAATGCAAAATAATAATAATAATGATAATAATAATAATTTTAATTGTATGATAGTAAAATTACAGGTGTAAACTTAGAAACGTAAATAATAAAAACAAATACAATAGTACAACAATAATTAACAAATAAAACTAGGTTATTTTGTTAGTCCGAAGGGAAAATTTATCAATTACGATAATACAAAATATATAATATTATATCATATTTTTTTGATACCATACGTTGTAAATAGAAGTTAAAATTATAATAATTACAATATATAGGGGTATATAGACAGATAAATGATAACGACAGATGGACGTGCAACACCTCTATACTATAATATATTATAGACGGTACACCCTATAGATATGGGTACATAGAAACCATACGAGGGATCAATAATCGTTACCAACGCCTATAAGAGGCATCGATCATTATAATATTGTAACAACACGATAGAATCATTATAATATGGGTATATTAGGGATAAATAAATAAAATATACTATGTGTGTATATATTTATATATAAATATATATATATAATATATATTTATATGGGCATAAACTTCGATAAAAAATAAGTTAACATACGTTTTAATTGATTGTCAACAAAATTAATAATAATATACCGTCGCCACGGTGGTGGTAACCAGCAGTCTCTACTATTTAACACATAATACATTTTACAATTTGCACATACATATATATTCACACACTCAAGTGGGTGCACAAAGACAATTATAATAGGTTTGGATACATAATAATTTACCATATAATCTAGTATAATTTAATTTAATTTCTACTAACGACAGACGGTCTTCGTGTGTGATGTGTATAAAACATGATCATATAATTTAATTATAATTATTATTACTTTATATAATATTATTATTCGTGTATTCGACTTATCAAACTATTCGAAAACCGTCTGTTAAAACATAGACATCTACAATATCGATTTATATATATTATTATTATTATTATTATTATACTAAGACTATCACTACGATAATTTGTTACTAAAATACTATTATAATTCATAATAATAAATTTTTAATGATACATAAACATTTAAACACTTAGTTGGGAGGCATTTGGCTTCTCGGCAGACTTCAAGAAACGACGACGATTATGAATGTCAAACCAACATTTATATATTTTTTTCAGATGTAAAGAAAAGAAACATGCACGTCGTTACTTATTATGACATTAGTCATATAACGGTGGCATTGACTAAAAATTATAACAACAACACGATAATAATAATAATAATAATAATATAATAATAATAATAAATGGCACGTAGGTACGTAACATTTTTTTACGCTGTTAATAATTTATAAACGAACAATATAATCGTATAACTGTAAATAAAAGCGATAGATCATAATATTATATAGGTAACGTTAAAATATTTTATACAAAAAGATATGAAATACATCGACAATAGACAATATCATAAATTAGTAGGTAATAGTATGATGATCGATGATCGAAATTCGAAATATATATAACAATATTAATATGTCGTTTACAGGTATAGGTACGCCTATATACAGTAACAGAATAGCTAGTGTATAGATTGTCAATGTGTGTTTGGTAATAATTTGACGGTTTTTAAATAGAAGTCACAGACGAAAACGGAAAATAGTTCTACTATATAATAATTCAGTTGGGTTTCCCGCCGGGGTGCGCGAGACAACACATTTTCAGACGTTGCAAGTAATTTTAAAGTACTTGTAAGCGGAAGATTAACCATTAAAAAAAAATTATTTTCTGGGCCATCGTCGAACTCTCTCTACGCGTGTTGTGTAGATTAAATGTATTGGTTTATATAATATTTAAGATCGTCATCACGCATAATAAGTATTTTACAGGACGTGTGTCCGAGTATTGTATATTAAATAATATTATATGTATTAATAATCAGTTGAAATATGTTTGTTAACAGTTGTGTCTGTGTAAGTGTGTGACGCGTGTGTATGTGTGTGTGTGTGTGTGTGTGTGTGTGTGTGTGTGTGTGTGTGTGTGTGTGTGTGTGTGTGTGTGTGTGTGAGAGAGAGAGGGAGTGACAGTGTGAAAATTAATTTCGAACTTTTGGAGAGCTGTGAACTTGAATCGATATTTTGCGCGAGAACAATGATATTTAAGTACTTTACAAACAAGACGAGCGTTAACGGTAAGTACCGAATTATAAGGTTTTATACAGAAGAAGAATTGTCTTTAATCAATAAAATCGTAGGCGAATAAAGGTATATGTGTCATTATAATATTATAACAATGTCAGCTGCACACCGCGGTATCCTGCGATAGAAAACGGAGGCGATGCGTCTTATCACCCAAACGTCATAACATTGTATCATATTATTATGAACCGTATCGACGAGGAGGCGCGCTCGAGGACTTAGAGGACGAGGACTGGGACGGCGACGAGATGGGGTGAGAGTCTCAAGACGATTGTTTGTAATTGATCGGCCCGTAATACATGTTACGGTAGTCCACGTCGGCGTACTCCATGTCGCCGCCTTCCGCGTAAGCGCTGGCCGCCGGCGGTTTGTAGGGCTAAAAATATACGATACACGACACACGTTATTATAATATCATTGTATATGTACCTATATATGTAATGCCTAAAAAATAATAATTTATACGGACTTGCACTGGACGTGCACAGGCTATTGCATTCCTGTATAGGGTGTTAGTGTGGGCACGGGAGGCGAGTGGGTCGCACCGCTGGTTATGTAACACTATTATGGTTATGGTTCAGCACGGGGGGAGGGGATGGGGCATAAGCGTACGTACCTATATATACTTGAGCGCGCGAGGACGGTTGTGATACAAATGCACACGATTGACGAGTATTATTGTATAGTGTTACGACTCGAGTTAGTGAAATAATATTATTATGTTAGTAAAACAAATATAGGTACACAGAGGTGAACAGAATGCTGGATTGCTGCCATGGTGTTCCACGCCGACAGGCTCGCCGCCGGGGTGGCAGTGACGAGTTAGCGGGACGAGAGTCGATGCACGCACAACAATCTCACATAGGTAATATAGGTAGAGGTACAGCAAGAGAACACAATATTTGTATACTGTATTTGTGGACGTGTATACCGCAGATACGGTTTTAAACCGACGAAAAACATAACAATATAAAATATAAAATAAAACGTGCCTAACAATATGATATCATTGTATATCAATATATTATTATGACAATATATGTGTCATTAAAATAGTATGACATGAGATACGTGTACAGAGTCGTAACGACGGTCGATGGTGTCGTCTACACGTCGATTTCGCGGCCCACGTCGTGGAACTTCACCATGTTTTTGTTGGCGCCACCGCCGTTCGCTTGGTGCTGCGCCGCGGCCGCCGGCGTCGCGGCTGCGGTCGGTCCGCCGCCCGGCGGGTTGTTGCGCGCGTCGTTTTTTTGCCGGGGTCGGTGATGGTGATCCAACTCAGCGGCCGCCGTGACGTTTCGATATCTGTCCGCAAGCGGTTGGGGTGGCGTCGGTGATGGTGGGTCGTCGGCTTCGGCATCCGCCGCGTAATCAGTCGCGTCCAGGGGTTGCGGCTGTTCCGCGTCGTCGTCCGGTTCGACGGCCACCACACCTCCCACAACGCCAACCCGGCGTCGGCGGTTCTGTTGGCGGCGCCAAGAACGCTTGGCCGTCAGCGATTGTTCGTCGGAAACGTTGCCCGCGGACGCGGTGCCGACACCGCAGTACGGCCGTTGCTGTTGCTGTTGCTGCGATTGCCGTTTCGACTGTTGTTGTCGCGTGCCCATGCTAGCGTACACGTCTGCGGCGTAGTAGCCGACGCCAGACACGGTGTTGTAATTGCTGTTGGCGGCCACGGTGTTATAATTGTTGATGGCGGCTGACTGTACGGGTGGTCCGTCGGCGCCGTTGGGGGCCACGTTGCTACGTCTTCTGTTGCCGTGCTGTTGCTGTTGCTGGTGATGGTGGTGGTACTGTTGCAGGTGTTGAGTGCTGCCGCCGATGTTGCCGCCGTAGTAGTGATCGGCCAAAGGTCCTCCACCGACGCCGTCCAAGACTTGCTGGCTCCCACGACGACGTCTTCCCATGGTCCCGCCGGCGTTCATTGATTTGATCTTGTCGGCGTCGCCGCCAACTCCGTCACCTCGGTCGTCGCAGTCGTTGTCTTCGTTGTACCGGCCGACAGCGTTTTTCTGTTGGTGCTTCAGAGATTTTTGGTACGCGTCTTCCCGACTGGAGCCGGTCACCTCGAACTGGGTCATTTCAATGGACTGTTGTTGATGCTGCAGTTGGTGCTGCTGTTGTTGTTGCTGACGATGGTGAACGACGCCGCCGCCGACGGTTGAGTACCCAGCGGTGAGAGCTGCCTCGGCCGTGTCGTCCGCAGTCACACGGTGGTACAACAGTTGGTGTTGTTGCTGTATTTGCATACGGTAAAACTCGTCCAAGCTCCGAGCTCCTATCCCGACTCCTGTTAGCTGTTAATCACACACACATACACGCACGCACGCACACACACATACGCACACACACACACACCCAATCGCGTTGTTAGTAAATATATGGTATGTTAGTAATTTCGCAAGCATTGTATAAGATAAAAAATAAAAATAAAAATACGACTAAGTATATTGTTCTAATATAACAAACGGACGCGGTTGATAAGGGCGTTGTTGAGGGGGTGTAGGGAGGAGTGGACGCGACTACAACATATATAGCGATTGACGCGGTCCATCTGTACGTACCTTATTGTTGCCGACCACGTTACCGTCACCGTTCAACAACTGCTGCAGGTTCTCGTAGGTGTCACGGCGGGCCAACGACGGCGGCGCCACCGATGCAGACGGCACGCGCGTCCTGGGCGCCGGTTTGGGGAACGTCGCCGCGGAGAACGCGTCTTTCCGTCCATCCTTGCGGTCCCCGGCCGCCGGCGACGTTTTCGTCTGGTCGGCGCCCACACCGCCGTTGCCGTTGTCGTCTGGACGGTCACCGCCGACGGTCGGACGTCCGGTCGGCAACTCGGCGACCTGTTTGTCGGTGCTGCCGGTGCCGACGGTTCTCATCGACCGGAACTGTCGATCGCGTCGCTGCCACGCGGTCGCCGCGCCGCGGTTCGGTCTCTGCAACGAGTTGAACCGAACGGCGGCCGCCGGACGACCTGCGACGTCGCCCGATTTCGGGGCGGTGGCCTGGCGCAACAGCGACACGTATCCGCCGTTTGGCGACCGGTGGATCAACGACGACGACGGCGGCGGTGGCGGCGATGGGTCTGCAGGCGGCAGTGGGAGCGGCGGCTTGCAGTTAGTGCGGCCGACCGTGTTACCGTTACCATTGCTTAGACGTGGTTGACGCGCGGGTGACTGTTTTAAATCGGCGAACAGGATGATTGGCGGGGGACAAATCATAAACGACAACGCGTACACGAAACAAAACAAAAAACAAAAACAAAACAAATAAAAACAAAGCAAAAACTACAAAAAAAATAAGTGCATGCTTTCTCTGTGAGCTAATGTTCTGATATTATAAAATAAAATAACACGCAATAAAAATATATGTAGTATTATTATGTTACAGTTATACGGTGGTAAGTCCTGACGAGGAAATCGATGACTAACCTGATTCGGAGGTGGTCGCATTCCGTGGAACGGTAAGTTCTCGTAGAACGCGGCTTTCGAGTCACCCGTAGCCCCCAAATTAGATTCGTTGTCCTGCTGCTGACCGGCTCCGCCTCGCGAATCTAAACATAGAATGAATTGAAAATAAATATTTAAAGACGATTGCATATTTTTCAGATATCCCAAATGCCTCTAACATCCCTTGGACAGTATTATGCAGTAATGTGAAGAAATCGATTCATTTTCAAGTTATCGAGAGGAACCTGATCATAACGGTATTATTATATAAGTATCATTATCGAGGGCTGGGTTTCTATTCCTCGCGGACATATTGTTTGCCGTAGCTGAGGATTTTTGCACTGTTGCAACGGATTTTTTTTGTTGATCAATTAAAAAAAAACTTTTGGCTTAATGCTTAAAACATTATTGATACATTTTAATTAGTAGGTGTACTACACCGTTTTACCAAATTATTTGAAGGTTATGACTTATGAATGTGTTTCCCTGAGTTCACTAGTGTTGGTGAAGAATATCAAGCTAACTGCATGTGTGTAATTTTAATATTATATAATAATATGGACAGACACAAAATTGTCACATGTGTAAGTATATCATAATATGTTTGTCAATTATACCTATAGTGTGTGTTTATCGTCTAATACATGTATATGTGTGAGTATAAATATATTAAAGGGTCAAAGGTGATTGAATGTTACAACATTTTAAGTAATAGCATAATATTCGCATTTAAATACTTTGAATTTATACTATTCTGATATAATGGTATTGGATATTGTTTTGGATATTGATTTGTGTTATGAAAGCTTACATTTTTATTTCATTATCGAATGTTTCGTCGTGTATTTTTGTTATCAGTAATGTTTTGAATCGCAAAATTAAATTTCATTTGGATACGTATAAAATGAGTTGTGTGTAATTTTTGTTTTTGTTTCAGAAACGAAAAAATATAAATGAATTGTTTGTTTATTAATGTACTTATATTATATTATTCTGTATATTGTATGTCATGATTACTTATAAATAATCATTTCGAACAAATCATAGTTATAAGTGATAAAATTTAACTATGATTTATTTATAAAAATTATATAACAATATTACACTTGATTGTATGAATTGAAATTAAAATTTTTTTTTTGTATATTATGAGGAGTATTTTGATTGCAAATAAAAAGAGTATTTTGGTAGTGACTTTAATACAAAAGTATCTACTAAAAGTATATTTTTTTTTTTGCAACACTGCTTGATGCATATCCATCCTCAGCAGTTTCCTATACCTTAAGTGTACAAAGAGTTTGATACTGTGTTACCCACAGACCCATAGATCTTGATTGAACAAGTTGATTTTAATATTAGGTAAACGTTTACGATTACTCTACATAATACTTGCGTGCTTGTTGTCGGTGAATATATTTATGTATAATATATAATATTGTAAATAGCTTGTATCGATCATTAAAAAGAAAACAAAATAACATCACACACAATATAATAACTACATCTACGTTTTAAATACAACATACAACACACTATAAAACTTATCGTAAACACACTGAAACACAAGCATCTATAACATTTATAACTAAAAGACATAACTTCAAAGTCCATTTTTCCAACATTTCAGAAAAAAATAAAAAACAAAAATGTAAATTTTCTGCCTTTAACAAGTTTACTTTCTAAATTGTGTGTGATTTTTTTTTGGCTAGCTGATACAGTTAATAGTATTTGTATTGTGTCTTTATTGGTTTAATTCCAACAACCAATAGAATTACAAAACGGACTTCGCATGTAAGAAAATATTTTCAAAAGGACGGTGTTGATCATCAGAAACATAAAAAGGCAGAATACATTTTTTTTAAATATAGTGTTGAAATAATAAGTCTCGTTTTCTATAAAATTGTACTTGTGTCATTGTTATGTCTCTCGGGTATAGTTGTATTGTAGCGATGGGTCACCGTAAGATTTTGTAATTGAATTTATACAATATATTAATTAGACAGAACGTGATTTCCTTAAAGATAAGTTGTAGGCAGTTTATCGTTACTGGTCCCGTGCAATATATTATATTATTTATTGATATTTCGAGTACGATTTTAGGCGCCGCGCATTATTACGCGGTCGTATTTCTACCTGTTACGGAATGATATCTGTCCGCGCCGGACGCGCCGTTGTCCGAACTCTGGCGGACAGGAGGTGCGGGAGGAGGTGACGTGGGTGATGGTTTTTTTGGCACCAAATTATTATTGGATCCAATCATCATGCGACGTATACGAGCCGCGCGCGCAGACTGCGTCTCGTTGGCCAATATAATGCACTCGGCCGCCGGTTTTCCTTTACCCGAGTGGTTTTTTTTCGACTTGTGTTTATCGCCCTCGTCGGAAACGATTCTGTCAGCGGGCCCGCTTCCGCTGTCCGCCGTGTCGGTCATCGCCGATTGGGAGTGAATAGTCGACAACGACTTGTGCAACTGCTGTTTCGAATGCACCAACACGCCCGGCTTGAGAGGCCACTTGCCGACGACGCTCGCGGCGGATGAGGTCCGCTGGCTGGAAAACGATTCTGAGTGATCGTCGCCGTATCCGGGTGGGGGCTTAGGGTTGCCCGGGACATTCGCAGCCGACTGATCTGTACACTGCTGAGCATTCGCGGGGTTGGCACCAGAAATCGACGACGTGGCACTGCCTTCGGGACTACAATAGTATTCGTTACAAGACCGCTCGACAAGGTTGTGTTATCGTATAACTTTTAGCAAGGTTTAAGCAACCAGCAGTCTTTTGTAGCGTGTATAGTGTATACAACAGTATAATATAAAGTATAGTAACGATGTCTCCAAGCACGTAAGTTTTAGCAGTAAATAAGAAGAGCAAAACAACAATAGCCGCCGTAAAGGTAAAAAATGTAAGAAAAAATATGAAAAAAATGTAGGTAACAATATTAGGTATTCAACCACCACCGACATCATATACGTCCCGAAAGAGGAAAAAGAATAATTATGAGAAAAGTGCATTTGAGTGCTAGCGCGCGTACCAATAATAATAGTCAACGCCAGTGCCCGTAACTATACAATACTCACTTTTGTCGCACTTTCGATATGTTTAATAGCAAGCCACGGCCTCGGTGCCGGCGCCAAACGACTGGTACCCTATACGCCGTCAATGAAGGGTATTTTTGTTTAACATCTAAATATTAAAAACAAAAACGGATCACACAATAAAAGCTATACCTACTAAATAAAAAAAAAACACAAATAGGTACATAGTCTACTACATAAAATAATAATACAGACAGAACAATACGCACTAATATAATACTAACACTATAATGATTATATCACTACATCCACAGTTGGTATACCTTTTTGATATGTTCACATGCTGTAGTTCTCAAAGTATTTTGTTACCCGTTTATCAAATTATAACAATGTTATAATAACTTATATTATTATTGTATACATATTTTAATAGAAAATAAAAATAGAACACTTACATTTCTGACGTCCTCCCGACACTCCGTTGCCTGGTTTAATGTAACGATTCTTACAAACAAACAGCAACAGGATAACAATGACGATGATGACAATAAGTAGCAAAATCACAACCAAAGCCACTAAGACTACCATCACTGGCAACCCACCCAAACCTATGGTCGCCAACAACTGTTTCCACCACGGAGCGTCACCTATTATTATATGCGTACAAATTAATAAATTGAACATTTTCGAAGTAAACAATAATAATATATAAATATATAAAATAATGAAAATTTCTAAATTATAATTATGTTCTACTATTAATGTTCTCTAATGATTTTATCGACATATAGTCACTTACTTTCCCTGACAGCTAGTAAAAAAAAGAAATATATAATATATTACTATAAATACATAATATGCAGTCTATATTTTAAAAGACAGGTGCAGATAACATTTCATAAATATTGTTAAATGCGTTAAAATGTATAGAATAGCTATACCATGACACTATTTATGCGTATTCATTAAACAAGTGATGCTCTTCTTTTCCAATCAGACCTATGATCGTGGCTTATTGGTACACCGGTATAGTGGGGTGAAGCCCTGGGAGTGGTGTCACTCAATAACTCTAAATGTTTTAAATGTCTTACTTTTGTATTACCCATCCAATGACCAATTGTCGATTATACCTACCATCAATGGTATTCCAAAAACTTCTAATTTTTCCTGAGACCTAGGTTTTCAAATTTCCTCAAAACTACATACTAAATGATCTGTTGCTCCTTAGTCCAACCCATTCTGAGTACGAATCTATTCTTTAATACCTTAAATTATCCATAGATTTAGTAGTAGCAGAAAGGATTCAACGAAAATTCCTAAAAGTTGTTGCTTATTATATAAGGGTCTCTTATTCTCTACATGATTATAACTTATTACCCTATAAGGAAAATATAAAATTTATCCATCCTTGCTAATCAAAGCCACATTGAGATATATATATTATGTCTTACCTAACTTGTGTCCAACTCAATTGATTACCTACCCTCCTTTCACCACAAATGCATTTAAAAGTTTCACCCTGGGTAATAAATTGAATAAATGGATTATTTTTAAATAAAATAATATATATTTTGTAATACTTCTAGAAAGGGATTTATTAAAGGGAATTTATAGCTTTTTGCTATGATGTTGATTTAAATTTTAAAGTTCTGTAGTTAATTGCATCACTTGTTAACTATTTTTATTTTTAAGTATCATATGTTTTATTCTATATCTATAGTTATGTTGTATTATAATTTAGATTTGCATCTGATTAGTTACATTAATTATTAATTAATATTCCTCATAATTCAAAATCATCAACAGATGTGTTTATTACCTTGAACTTGAATGCTACACTGGTCCCATCCAACAGTGTTGTTTACAGTACACACATATGTCCTGACTCCTTCTGATGCTCCGTTGTTAGGTATATTGTCGCTACCTCTTCCTTCATCATCTTCGTTGTTACTCACTTCCAGTCTATCTTGTAATATTAGTATGCTCCTGTTATAACTTCCGATATTATCCACTTCATTCGATCCACTGTTGCCCGATGATCCAATCGATACGGTGATGATCCTCTCAGTAGCAGGAGAGTCAGATGTCAAAGATGTCGATGAATCGTTCTGGCGACCCGAGTTTCTTATGGTCCACGTGTATTGTACTTGACCTGGATTTGCAGTAGCTGTACACACCAGTATTCTCTTTTCACCAGAAGATGAAGACAAAAATTCCTCTAATTCGGAAGATTGATCAGTGGAACTAGCAGAGGACTCTTGTTTAAATTGGTCCACGGTTAGCATCCTAAGTTGACAGCTAGGCTTATCTATAAAAATACAATTCTCATATTCAATTTAGAAGCAGTACGAGAAAGTTATCAATTCGACAGATGTCAACAATATTTAATAACATTTTATTTATGAATACAAGTCATCATTGCAAGAAGATAACAGGTTACCAACAATTTTAAATCTTATCATTATTGTTTATCAAAAATAAATTATTAAGGAATTAATTAAAAATGTTAATACCGAATTATTACAGTTTAATATTCATTCATATATACATAACTGAATAATGACCAAATTTGTGAAACATATGCTTATTGTTTTCATGAATATGATCTATTATCAATAAGATAAACTCCATATAGCCATTGAAAATAACGATAAATATATTTAATAAGATTTAATTAATTAGTTATTATGTTTAATTTGAAATATAATGTCATACAAATAATGTATATTTAAATATTAAATATTAGTATAACAACAAATTCAAATTTTCAAAATAAGATTTGAGCACATTTACTGACGTATCGTTTACAGTGATTCTATCAATAATATCTAAGCTGATTAATTTCGAAGTTGAAATAACAACAGTGGTGGATTTTGGGATAATTTCCAACAAATTACTGAAACACTAGGAAAATGTTTGCAGCTTACACCGGTTAAGAAGTCTAAAAGATGTAAAATCGATAATGTTAGCGATTACAGATGATGTCAGTCTAAGAAAATTTTTGGATGTCACAATAATTAATGACAATAAATTTATAGTATGTACGATGTACTTATAACTTGTCAGTGTTGTATGCAATTAGGGAGAACAAGGGACAATTTTTTTTCAAGAAATATTTTCCTTTACATTTGGTAGTAATAAATTATTAATGTAAATTAATACATTAATTTATTAATATTATTATTTGTTATTTCGTATATAATTTAAGTCAGGACTGAGTGTCTAAGTTCTCCATACATTTTGTCTTTGATTGTGCCTCTGGTTGTTAGTTTTACATTTCATTATTTTATTATTTTGATAGTTGTGACATCCTTAAATGATTTCACTCACACATGACGTCCAAATAAGTGTATGCAGTTCCGTTTCCGTGTGTGTTGCGAGCCACGCAGGCATAGTAACCAGCTTGTTGTCTACCCACAGCTGAGTTTAACACCAACTGTTGATTGTTAATTTGGCCACCACCACTTCCAGAGCCTCCACCGACACCACTGTTGCCAGCGCTGGCGATCGATGAGAGCCTTTGCTGGGAAGACGATTGAGTCGACTGAGACGAGTTTCCTGGCACATTCCAGTTGTTCGTACTGGCAATGTAACGCCACTCGAAACTGGGCTGGGGTCGGCCCTCGGCGTGGCAAAACACTTTTTCCGGTATATTACCTTCACTGACGTGCACGACCGTTTTGGAAACAGTCATGTTACCAGGAGGATCTACAACATATAAGAATAGAGATTTAAATTGTTTATTATCATGTGTGATATGTAAAATATCTGGCTTACATTCAACAGAGAAATTCATTATCGATTCTGACACGGGCGGTCCAACTTCATTACCACTGCTCCGGCAACTGTATTCCGTAGAGTCTGTTATAGGATCCAAACCTCGACCGCCTGGCCAGTTATCCATGCGCCATATCAACGTGCTGCGCACCGCTTCAAAATCGTTTTTCAACCGTTCCGCAGGTAAATATTCCGTCAGTATTGAATATCTGTAACAATTATCATTCAGTCAAAAAAAAAAATGGTATTTACCTAGTTTAAAGGTTCTTTAAATAGAAATAAAGGTTTGAATCCTAAGTAAGCACTCACCACACAATATATTTATATATTGTAAGTAAGAACAAATATTATTTTTAATCATACATTAAATATAAAATGCAGGACATTTTACCTTTCTTTGTCCATTGGACTGTTCATTGGATCGATGAGGACACCTCGGCGTAACCAGTTCACAGAACAATGAGGATAACATTCAACTGTGCACGATGCATTTACATGTGTTGCATTATAAGCCACCCCTAAATATTGTGGAGGTCCAGTAATGTAATTTGGAGGAGCTACAAATAATAGAAATGTTTATTGTATTGGTAATGTATTTTTATTTTCGGCTGATTGAATTTAATAAATATTTTAATTATCTTACCAAAAACCTCGATGTATACAGGCTCGGAATATGTGACCCCGCCTTCGTTGTAAGCAGAGCAGGTGAAATTAGCGCGAGTTTCCAATGAGACATGATCGACGAACCATTCGGGGTTGAAATTCCCTCCACCAGTATTTCCGTTGGTGCCAGGACTAATTCCAGTTCCAGAATTTATGTTAGGATTTATTAGTCCTTGATTTTGATGATAAAATGGATGTCCATCGCGAAACCATGAGTAACGAGTAGGATGTTGAGGCCGACCAAGAAATTGAGCATTGCATCGCAAAGTAACATTCCTTCCTTTTATGACTCGTCGCGGGGTGAACTCCAATGTCACCGGTCCCGGAGCAACTGAACAATTTAAAAAAATGTATTTATTCAATCAATTTAAATAAAATGTCATATGAATATTACAATTTGAGCATCTACTCAACAAGTTATAATATATTACCGGTTAAGATAAGAAATTAATTATTTATTATGTGATTGCAATTAAGATATAATATATTCTTGTCATTTATTATTTTTTAACATTATATTTCGACGTAATTAATGTTTTTCATTCAAAATTAGACCCATTTATTTAAGCGACAATTATGTATAAATAATCGTTTATTATTTCTATATTTTTATTAAGCTACAACATTCTTTCTACTAAAATATAATCAGTAATTTTATGAATTCGATGTACATAGTTAATGTTAACTGTCAAGTTTATGTCAAGATTCTACTACATGATAAAATTAGTTGGATTTTTGAGAAGGAACCTTTTTTTTTTGTAATGTAAATAAATGTTTAAGTGTTGAATAAAAATTTAAGCAAGCTTACAATATACAATAAGAGGTGTCTGATCCGACATCGGAGTAAGGAGACCAGCAGCGTTCCGTGCTCGACATGAATAATTTCCATGTATATTTTTCGTCACATTAACCAAAATAAGTTCTCTATCGGTGCACACCACTTTTCTTTGCTTTTTATTACGTCTCCTTGTATCATTATCAACAGCATATGAGTCATATTCTCCTTCTCCGTGTGGTTCACTGGTGTCATAGTTCAAAGTCATGGCATTATTATCATTATCATTATTTTCAGTATCGAAATCATTGTCTTCGTCTTCTTCCTCTACAAAAACATCACTACTGTCCGGTGATCTAGTGCAGTTGGGCAACTGCATTTGTACGCCATTCCAATACCAATGAACAGATGTTAAATTCAAAGATGGGTCGTTGTTGGTGTCTTCAATGTTTTGCTGATCTTGTTCTAATTGTACGGCACATCGAAGTGTAACGTTGCGATGTTCCGATTCTAATACAACTGGATTTGATCCAACCATATTATTGTTGATACTGCTACTCGCTGTTGACGCAGTTTGATTTTCTTCGAGTAAATCGTCTAGGATAACGTGCAATTTTACCTTAGGTGTATCTGTAATAAATATGACAAATTAAAACATTTCAATATTTATTTAATTTTGTTTTGTTTTACTTAAGACTTAAAAGTAATTACTGGTATTTAATGTTAATATACTGTTATACGTACACTGAACACGGACGTTTGCGAAATTTGTAGAATTGGCTGCCCCGACTGAATTCCTGACCCGACATTCATAACGACCCGAGTCGTAACGTGTTAACCTCCTAACCACTAACACCGTTGCGTCTTCACCATTTCCATCTCCATGAATGCCTCCATTTCCATTGACCAATCCTTTAACTCGAGCATATTTTGCCGGATTTCCCATAGGATTCATGTGAAATCTATTATTGGCCCCGTTCGACGATCCTGATAGCGTACCAGTACCAGTAGCTGGTGTTACTGCTGCATAAGACGATGCTGATGATCCATGATTTGGTGAAGAAGGTTCTTCCTCGTCAATTAGTTGTAACTCAATGCCATCCCGATACCTATAAAAGTACCATATTGTATTAAAGTAATTAGCAAACTGTATTTTTACCCTACATGGGATGTTGTATTTTAAATAAATAAATATTCACCATTTAACAGGTGTTCGGAGCTTATCTGGATTGGCATGGTATGCACAATGGAGCCTCAATTCCTTAGTTTCGTTTACCACCACAGTATATAAAATTGATTGATAGTGCAATCCATCGTATGTATCTTTAGAAGCGTCGGTTACAATCGGGTTGACAATATTGCTACTATCAACTCCTCCTTTACGCTGTTGACCTATTTCATTTTTTATTTCGTCCTCTACAATCGCACCAGAATTTTCACCGTCAGTAATGGGCACTACCCAGGCAGTTGGTACATCTGAAAACAGAAATTGAATTGTTTAAACGTTTTTAAAAACCACCGAATCAGACAAATAGTTCTGTTAAATTTACTGACATTTTACTCGAATTGTCATGTTTACAGTAAGAGGTTGATTCGGCGATGAACCGACATTATTGAATGCGTCACACCGCAGTATGGAACCGTCTTGTTGGCGATGAAGTTGAGACATTGATAATTGGCTGTGCGTGTCTCGGGTGCCATCAGCCTGTAGAATAAATCCCACAGTTAGTATTATCATTAGTATATTAAGGTACATTTTGGTGATTTCCTTTCGATATTGAAGAAAATATAAAATAAAAGTTGTATTAATTGATTTTATTTTTTTTATTTTGTATTGTTTCTTACCTGATATTCGGTATGCTGTGCTATTTCTACGGGGCCTATGATTTCTGCTCCACCTTCCATACGTCGCTGTTCCGAAATCAAGTAATCGCTGGGAGACCTAGCTGTAGAACCCCCGTTTTGCTGACTGTTTCCTAACATAACGGGTGCGCCGTGCTTCGACGATTGAACGGGGGGTGCATGAACATTTTGTTCATTTTTTATTCCACTTCCGTAATCATTGTCGTCATCATTTTCTTGATCCTTATAATAATAATACCATGTCACGTTCGCTTGAGGACGGGCTCCACGGGCCGCGCACCGAATTACTAACGGTTGGCCTTCTGTAGTTTCAGCATAAACCACTGCTCCGGAATTTCTATCATGCTCGCTATTTTGAGGCTTATAACGATCGTCGACTTTAGAAACCTTAGTTACAGCGGTGCCTGATGATGACGTGGACATTTCAACAGAGTAAGGACTTACTAAAAAATGTATGTAAAAGATATTTATTTTCAAAGTCGTCTAGAGAATACTAAATTATATTATAATTTATAATAGATTTACTTTTTATCTTAAATCTAATGTACTTACCGTTTACAGTGACTTCGACATTGGATGTTAGAATTGGTGATGAATCAGTCGCAGTTTTTACTCTACATTCATATCTGCCGTTTGCACCTCTTTTCCCAATAACGGTAAGAATGCTTTGTGCAACCCATAATCCTGAGTACGAGAAAACGTCATCGGACATATCGGAATCCACTTTGCGGTATTGATAATCAACTGGAAATATCAAGAATTTATACCCAATTCTAAGACATTGTTATAAACGAGAAGATATGTTGGTCAAATACATTATCATTTTAATGAAAAATGAATGGAATTTGATTATTTTTCCAAGTGTTGGATTAAAATATATTACCTAAATCAGTATCATAAATTGGACCACGACTATGTTGCCACCACGTGACTTGGGGTATAGGCCTGGCGCGGCCTGCACGACATACCAGACGTATTTTATTTCCTTCATCCACTGGACCCACGATTGCTCCAGATGTTAACTTTTTCATAATACCAAATTTTGGATCGCTATTTTTGTCATCGTAAAAATCTGATGTAGGATCTATGTAATTATGAGCTGAAAGATCACCGAGTTCAGCAAATGTACCAACACTGATTGATTCAGGGTCAGCTATAAACAGAAATAATAAAAGTTAGTATGTATGATATTAATAATCATGGTTCTATAATGAAAAGGTTCTAAATTTATTGCATTTTTTCTAAAGTTCATTTTTTAATAGAAATGGTTTTGGAATACAAAGGCGCATATTTTAAGCTGGTTATATTCACGGTTATACGATAATTATTGATGGTTTCATGAAATCAAATTTAAAACGCTCGTATAATGGAAGCAAATTAATAACAATACGTTAGTATGAAAATGTTCTATTTCAATTAATCACTACCAATAATATAATTTTATATGATAATAATATAGATACAGTACGAAGTGTCTTCCTTTTCAACTTAATTATATTAGTTTAAAATAGTACACAAGGTAGATTAATAAATTTCAACAGCATTTTACGTTCGAGATATAGATTTCGATGTTTCACATTCATTACATTGTTCGGTGTTAGAAGGTTGGCAGCACTGAGAAAGCATTATTCTGAAAAGGATTCAGCTAACAATAGTACAAATAATAAATAAAAAGGAAAAAGTTCTAATTAAATAATTTTTATTTTTGGATGAATAGGTTCTAATTCCAAAACTTTTTCATACTTGACAATTTATAATTTGTATTTTATTAATGTTCGTACTGACTAATACAGAAAATTATTATTATAGCTTTGTGAACTAAACTATACAAGCTGCTTTATGCTTGAAAACTCAAAGAATAAAAAACATTTTTACAAAGAGTAAAATATTTGAACTCAACCCTTAAAATTACTCTCCTGAACAATTTCATAAAAACGATTTAGAACCTTTTCATTCTAGACCCACGTAATTTAAAACGTAATTAATTAGTTTATATAATAATGCTTAGTATATGTATAGAATCTCATTAAATATTATATTCAATTCATACACATGTTTATAATTCGATATATTTATTTACTTTCGTTTTCATTAAACTGCGCACAATTTGTATGGTTGATTTGGAAAACTGTATGCCATTTTTAATCATGATGATATAATTACATTTGTTCGGGTTAAAATAAAATGTTAAAACTACTCAAATTAATACTATATACTATATCTACCTTAATAAGAATAAAATTGATTATTATTTATTAATATTTACTAATTAAAAAAATATGTTAATCATTAATTATAAAGATAATTTGTTTTCAAGTTTTTTAATCAAACGATAGTGTGTTACATGTATTTTTTTTTAAAACTCAAGTACGGATATTAAAACCATTCATTTTTATATTAAACCATTTCAGTAAACCAAAACCAATTATTTATACCATTGAACAGTTTGAACAACTTTTATCCGATATTACTGACACAAAAAATAATTCATAAAGTGAAGTATTCCTTTGCTCTTCTCTTATTGAAATAAAAGCGGACAAACTAAAGTGAAAACACACACATTCACCTTCTAAGGACCCTATACGTTCGAAAATCTCTTTCGAAAAACTTCTTTGGTACGAGTCACTACTAAAAACAATCTGTACCTACATATTTGATTTATTGGATTTTAGGATTTTACTTTACCATCTATAATAATTACTTAGACGATAGAGACATTTCAATCAATCTATGTGGAGAAAGTCTCAAAGTTAGAGGGTGTAATCATATATTAATAGGTTGATTTTATATTTATATTGATATTAATGTAATTTATGTTACTATTAGCAATATTTTATAAATATTAAATAACTTAAAATTAATTTAAATATTTTGAAAACACCATCAGGTCATGGAGTAAAGTAAAATGTAATAATATACGTAAATGGTTCCACGAATAAAATTGTTAAATTACATAAATTAGTAATTTTCAACTTGTTATTCATTGTTTAAAATCCCAATTAAGCCAAATTTTAAGTACAAACGTAAAGAATTAAGAATTTAATGCAAAGTTCTTTTAAACTGATAAAAGGACAACTTATGTAGGATCTTGTATTAAATTGTCAAGCTTTAAGATTAAATCTCAAATTTAAACTAACTCAAATATAAAATCTAAATATAATGAAAATTTGACTAATAACAGAAAATGATAATTTAAAGAAAAATGAAGTGTTTTAAAAGTCTTCTATTATTACTTCTTAAATGATATTACAAAAGCTAAAATAGGATGATGATTTCTATTTTTTTTTTAATGTTTTAATTTATTAAAAACGTATGAACCTTATATTCAACAAGCTTTTTTTGACCCGAATATAAAATAATATTGGATCAATATATCTATAAATAGATCAAAAATATTTTAAATATTTTGAAAATTATATTCAATAAATAAAAAATGCTAAAAAATTAAAATACAATTTGGTGCAAAATAGTTTGGTAACCCATTCATTTTTAAATTTTAAACATATTACAAATTTCAACTGTTTGAAATTTTCTATACAACATCTAAAAAACAGCTAAAAAAGCCTAATAGTAAAATAATTTTAATTGTATACTATATAGTTTATAGATATATGGTCTATACAGGTTAGATTACCTATGTTATTGATATATAATTTATTTTATTACAATTTATATTTTATAAAATAAATGTAATTTCTCTATACTAAACGACAATAAGTGCATATAAGTTTAAACACCGTATTTACCATTTATAGTTTTGTATTATTCGTTAAACATATCATTAATCATAAAATTAATTGCTAATAAACGTTTAAAATAAACATATTTATTTTTTTATTTTTTAAAACACACATGACACATGTCACGAACAAACTGTTGTACACTTCATATTATATTATAGTATTTTAAGTACACAATCATTTTATACATTGTCATTAAAGTAAAACAGTTTTTTTATGATAACGATTAAGATGGTTTAATATCTAAAACATTTATTGGATAATTTAATAATACAACAACTTTATCAAAAAAATTATTAATAAGATTTAAGATTTTGTTAGGTTCTAAGTATATTTAAAAACTATTATTTTAATAGAATAAATGAATCGATTTTATATTATTCAGACTTACTGTATGTTGTTAGGTTTATAAACTGAACGATGTTGCAACCTTCGTGTACTTTAGTATACGTGATCTCACATTTATATACACCCTCGTCAAGTGCTGTTATATTGTCCATTACCAAGAATCCCAAAGTTGAATTTGGTTCCGTACTCCAATACGATCTGTCAAAAAAAAAAATGTATTATTGACTAATCATTAACATGCTATTTACATGTTGAGTTGATGAACTGTATCGTTGGCAGAATTGAAAATATACACATTTATTGTAAAGATTTACATGATGGTATAAGTACTATGGAAATATGTAATATGTAGGTATACCTTTTTTTATTGAAGTGGGATTTTTTTAATACGTTCACTTTAATATTATACCTATATTTTATGCATACATATTAAAGTTACACCATAGCCCCCTTCCATATGGAAATATATTTTCCCTCAACTGAACAAAAAATTAATTCAGACTCTCACTATACACAAATTAAATTATAAAATGCCGGACAGGATACGTAGACCGGATACTCGGTCGCCAGCACGAGGGTAGAAGTATAGTATCGCTATATATTTGAAAGCAAATAATAAAAAATAAATCGTCGAATTTAAAAAAAAAAAAAAGGATTTGAAGTAAAAGTCGATATAAAAACTGTGTTTTTGAGAGTTCTTTGATAATGCTTAGACTACGGTTGTCAGTTGCAGTTTTTTCTTTCGTTTAACGAGAACTGCTAGGAAAATTGAAAAATTACCTCTTCTTAAGTACCAACTATACTAGATTTCCAATTGGAATAAACCTAAAACTGAATCTATTTCATTGAATAATGCCCAAGTAAGTGTTCACAGTAAAATATAGGTATATAAACGCGAAACATCATAGTTGAACTAAAACCAATACATTCCTCTTTATATTCTCTTAAAATCTTTAAATTGATAAAATCGTATTCCGGAATGAACCAATTCTGTTACCCAAATAATAATACATCATATATTAAAGCAAATAATATATGGTATTATAAATAATATATATCCAATATTTATACTTATATAATATTATGTATTTATCTACAGGTAACATAAATGGTGCAAGCTATATATATACAAATAAATAAAAATACGCGGTAATCATGGGTAATTAAAAAAATACGTGATGTGAATAAAATGTTTGTTCCTATTAGGTGGTAAAATAACAAAAACTTATATCAGTGCACAGTCCAGAAACATATTTGTTTTAACAATTTTAGGTGGGTGATTAATTTTATTAGGGTGTATGTGTAAACTGTAAATACTAATGATATTTTATAATTAACTTTGATTATTGAATATTTAATATTATGTTGATTTTCATTTAGTGTTATCAGTGCTTGATTTGGAAAAAAACAGAAGGGGGACTCAGAGGATGTTTGATGAATGAGCGTTCTACACAAAATTAACTATCACATTACTATACATGTACTATACAAAAATATTTCAATAGAAAAAAAACACTTGTTTATTCCTTATTTTTTTTTAACATTATTTTAATTAATTTTATTCTGCAAAAAAAAAAAACAAACTACCTACGTATTAATTATTAAATAAGGTCCACAAGCTTACATATGAACTATCTTCATTTTTAGAAGTTCTTTTAGGACAGTTTACTTCATCGGAATTTCTGGTAAGCTGGTATGAATTTTTTTGACGACAATTGACGAATCAAAATACTTTAAAACTTAAAAATGACAAAAGAGTGATAATTGATTTTTTCACCGGCCTGCAATCACGATGTCTATTCATATCAACTTTTATTATCTATAAACGTCGTTTTCCCAAGCACATGAACCATGGTATTAATCTATTATAATATGTTAGCGGTATTAATAATTATTCTCTATTGGAAATAAGACGAGTTATCACTTATCACATCATCCAATGACATTATAATTTATAATTTATATTACAATTTATAAAAATATAATCCTTAAAATGTATCTATTATCTGTGGCATAATCACAGCTGATATATGCTTATATTTAGGTGGGCATAATACAATTTCTTAGCAATTTAACAATCTTTTTTTTTTTCATAGTCGATTCAAATGGACAAATATTATTGATATAGTTTATGGATATATTTTGCAGCAGAAAAACTGATGATTTACATATTATTCACTATAGTGAATATTGCGTTCGCAGCGTTCCGTTTCAAATAAATAGAAGGGGTACGCTAAAAAAAAATTTTAGAAGAAGGGGGACTCGTCCCCCCACGCCCCCTCCCCAAATCAAGCACTGGGTGTGATAAATTAGGTATACAATAGTCAATAGGTATATTTTTCTGATTTACTCTAGGTGAATATGTTACGCTTATTGTAGTAGGTATGTAACAAAACGCTTGCTGTACTACAATAGGACAACTGGGAAGATAATTTTGTACTGTACCTGTACGCATAGAGTATTTATTATTGGAAGATACAGATTACATTAATGTGCAGGCTACCACAGACATAATATTTTTACTGATTGGTTAGTATAAATGTTATAAATTATAAATTATAATTTATAGGTAATTTATGTATTATGTATACCTAATTTTAGATAGTTATTTTTATTAAAAATAAAAATATGTAGATTACTAATTGAATACAACAAAAACCTTTTATTATAACCTCTAAACCACACTTTATTTTATAATCTTCATAGAATAATATTATACTATATCTTCTTATTTATAAACAATTATGTATTATGTAAATACTTGTAGTAGGGCTTGGATAAATTAATAATATTGTTAAACAATGGATGTATCTACTGAAAGTGTGCTTTTGGTTGAACGTAGAAAGCAATCCAAAATAATCACGAAACTCATTGTAATTAAGACATCTAACATTTCACATTTGTATGCTGTGTTTGTGCTTTCCAAACTTTAGTATTTTAACTTTTTAGTTAATGAAACTATTTAGTTTTTATTACAGTTTAAAAAAACAAAATGTTTAATCCGTGAAATAGGTACTTAAATTTTATTTTTTAATCTGATATTTAAATGTATATATAATTTAATAGTTGAGAATAAATTAGTATTCATTTAAAAAAAAAAAACTATATTATCTAACTTATTCCACTTAAACGAAATACTTAAGGCGCAGATTGAACAACAAAACTGTGTTTATTTTTAGAATTTCTTGGCTTCTGTATTTTCTTATCATAAGAGTCATAAGAGTGAAAATAATACTTAATGATTTGGCATAGTGAAAAAAATGGTGTTCATTTTGAATTTGATTGAGTACCTACTTATGAAACTAACAAATTTTTAATATATCCGTCCCCCCACGATATCACACGATTAGTTCAATATTACACTATTAAATTAAATAAGAATATAAGATTGAAACGATACTTTTGAAGGCAGGTTACAGTGCCTAGCTTATTCGTGTTCGAGACATATTCAAGATGTTTTTGAGAATCTTTTAATGTGTACATTTTAACATACCTATAATACAACCTAGGTACCATATTAACGGCACGCACTTGCTCCCCAAACACAGGCCATATCCTTATTCTGTTCACTTGTTTATGAATCTCTATTATAAAGTATAAGTATGATAGAACTAATATGCAAAAAAATATATACTAATAGGTAATAAAAGTAAAATACAGAAAATTTTATATTTAGTTATACATTTGGTGATTCCGAAAATACTCTCAAAATGTTTTTATTAATAAAAACTGTCTTCCTTTGTCAGTCAATTATTATGTTGTCTTAAAATGATCAATACAACAAAATTGTTAATTTCTTTAAACTATTTAAGTTACCGGAATCAATTATGTCTTAAAAATCTAATCGTGACTCGTGAAAACAATATAGAAAAAACATATTTACGATTTTAACCTCTAATTGAGGCCCTGTATAGATAGTATAAAGGCGTTTCGTCCTTAGTATAGCACAATTTGAAGTTAAACTTTGAGCATGACATGACTTTGGTAATTTCAACACAAGATTTATTTGAATTGCTTGAAGCTTGAACATTCAAGACGGCTTCGATAACTTTTGAAAGGGTTACCACCTACCACCCAGATTGAACTTATTATATTATAACTTGGCAGAATTGCATAGTAGTTAACGAAATGTATTTCAGAATAAAAACAGCATATGAAAAGAAAATGCAATTTATAGTAATGTACATGTGCCTATTCTTAAATACCTAATATAAAATTTAATATGCGGTATATAATTATTGCTAGTGTTAAACTCTTACAAATTGATCATTTAATCAAAGACGTATAATGATTTTTTAAGATTTTAAGAGGTTTGAACGTCTCATTTTTATAATTTCTTCTAAATCAATAGTAGCACGATCTTCAATTTCAAATTTATGTTTACATGTTAGGCATATTATACACTTAGGTTCCGAAGAAAAAAAAATAGTGTTTTCATTTAATAAAATCCTTAGAAATATGAAATTATATTGATTTGTTAAACTAAGCACATAAAATCTATAGTTTCGGTAAAAAAATGTAATTCATACAACCAAAATTAGTTTTTCTGCATGGGTAAAATATCAAAAATGTAAATGAATATATACTGGTACATATCTTTTTAAAAGAATCTATATTTGACTACATGTGGCAATAGTACAATACATGTTCCTATTTTTGTACTCGCAATATGCCAATGTTGACGTAGCTAAATAAATTCCAAACTCTAAATTAAATATCCTGTGCTTAGCGCATATGTTTGAGATTGTTTTCTTAGTATTCTAGCCTGATTCCTTGATTAAAGACTATCTAAATTCTAAAGTATAGTTATACCTACGAATATAGACACTGAGATTTATATTATAATAACCTATTAAGAATTTCTAAAGATGGGTCAATATGGTTCTGGTACACACTTATGTTTATTTCCTTCTCGTGCATATACAAATCAGATAATGTATACAAACAATGAATCGTCTGTTATATGCCAATATAATACTTTTTACAAAAGACTGCTCCAACAGCCTCTGAGTTAATTTAATTTAAGTTTTTTTTCAGTAATTTTGGTATCAATATATCATTCAAGCTTTCCTACAGTCGTATTTAAAGCTCGATCTCAACAATTTTTTTACATGGAAGCAAAATGGTTAAGTTATTATCTTTGGGTGTACATTTTTATTTCATATTGTGAAGAAGAATGGGATTCTGAAAATGTTGAT